CAGTAATGACAGAGCATGCGCGGTTATGCAAAAACCGCGATAGAGTGAAGCCGCGGAAGTCGAAGCGCGAAGTGGCGAGGGTTCACTGTATTCCCACGGTTCAAATGCCTGAGCAACAATGGAAAGAGATTCAGTTTTGTGCTCATTCCAAAGAAAAGTAACCTGAAATGTGGAAATGGCTAAACAAGATCTTTAATAGAAAAATTTCATTGATCTAACAACACACAAGTAGCATTTTGCTGAAGATAATTCAACAATAGTTGCAGTAGTGCACCATCAGGGAGCTGTCAGAAATTCAAGCCAGATTGTGAAGTGGATGTCCTTACTAATGACAAATAGAACTTAGCTCTAATTGGGTCAAATATTTTTTTGAAGCAAACCATAGAGGAGACAAAGACTGATAAGTCCTACAATGTATTTTCTCTTAATTTCAGGCTCTAACTGTGATTCAAATCCTTCTGATTTCTTCATTATACATTCAGCACTGTGGGGCTGCCGTCGCTTGACAGGATTAGTGTCAACTTTTGGACTTGAGGTGAGTACTCTTTCTTTGGGGCTGCTGTTCTTACTGCTGATATCTGGGCATTAGCATGTGGAGAACGTCTACGATGAACATAATGATGTATTTCATTCAATTTCTTATTGTTACTGACTATGGCAAGTCCAATTGGGTTGCCATTTAAAGTTTTTAAACTTTCCATCTAGTTTCATCTTACATACGTCTTCAAAATGAAATACACCAGAACTAGCAGTAACACATTCAGATCGATGATGTAACTGTTTGCGTTTTGAGGTTTCAGGGTCCTCATCTTCATCTACACAAAATAGAGTTGTCCCATCTTTATCTGTGTCTCCTTCACTTTCTCCTCCACAATCATAGCTCATTGATTTTAAAGACTCCATCTCTCTTAGACTCTGATCTAGCCAGAGTGTCACTGAGCTTATTCGGACTTATTGTGACCATATTGTACACAATCAAACCAGTCCATAGGGTTCCTGAGGAGATAAATCTTTATGGAAGCAGATTTCCATTATTCTCCCCCCCACCCCACCCCCGAGTGGCTGATTGGTTTATTGGTGGGTTTGAACCACAGACCTTTCTGTTAGCAGCCTAACCCTTGCCCCACTGAGTTACCAAGGCTCTGTGTCAGTTAACAGTTGACAAATCAGGATCAGAAATGCTCAAGATAAAATCCTTTGGTTTAGAACTACTCTTCTGAGCTGTGCACACCAAGCAGGCCTCTCTCTCTGGTCCTTGGCCTCTCAGCCATGTGGTTTCTTAGCTTCTGCCCTACTTGGACAATATCACAAAGATCTGTTTTAATCTCTGTCAGTAAATGTCCAAAAGGCAATCCACTCCACCAGAAGCCTCAACCTGAAAAATCTCTGCTCTAATTCCATGAGCCCCCAAATCCCTATTTCCAAGACCAACTCTATTTCACAAGCAAGCGTCCTGCCTGGTGGCACTCAGCTTTCTGGCTCCATGGCCTGGAAGCCCACTGCTGTGTCTCCTTCTCTTGGTGCTGCAGCTGCCTCTGTTATCCCCTGCTCTCTGGTGTCACAGCTCTCTGGTTCCTGGCTGGAAGATGGTCAGTGTTCAGAGATTTTAAGGGTCTTTGCAAAGGCCCTGCTCACTCCTGGCTCATTCTTGGTGGTAGAGAGAGTTTCCAGGGGAAATACTTTTCCATGTGACTTCATTTTGGCCTATTCTTACCATGAATAGATGTGATGATGATAATAATCATGAATTACATGCCTGGGCCTGGAGACACAGTGAGGTATGCATTGGGCTGCTCACCCCCCATCACAGTTAGAAATCACGGGGTCCTCCTTGGGAGAACCATACAGGTGCAATTCTATAAGGTGTAATGCTACCCTGTCCTACAGGATCACTATCAGTCAGAATGGACTGCAGGGCAGTGACTTTGGTTTTTTTGAGTCTCAGAAGATTACTTGGATCAGGACATATCTTCTGTGAAAGACTTAATATTATTATCCATATTTTATAGATTGGGATATGAAAATTAACTGACTTGTTCATGGTCATCCATATGTGTGGCAGATAGGATTTTCTTTTAGGATACTCAATCCATGATATATACCATTTTAACTTCATCTCTATTTAATATTAACTTAATTTCCCTACCCAGTGGATGCTTATGAGACCCTCTGATCAATCCTTCCTTGTGAGGAAAACCCTGGAGATAAGTGAAAAGTTTTCATACCTTGGTCTAGTTGAGATAGATCTACCAAATTGAGACGCTTGTCACAAGGGGAATTCTTCTCAGGTAAAGAGAGTAAAGTGAGGGGTCAACGGGCCAGTATGCAGAGAGAGAGAAGCACTGTACTGAGGACAGATGGAGGCTCACAATGCTAAAAGCCTGGTTGAGGAAGAATGAGAACATGCTGCAGAAAACTTAATTTTTTTTAACAAGGGTATCCCATCAAGAGAAACCTCTGCATCTGTGATATGGAATGGTTTCTGATCAGAAGAATACTTTACATAAAGTTCATGCAGTTCGGATCAACTAAATGACAAAGAGGTCATGCATAGTGGGTCAGCCTGGTGGTGTAGCGGTTATAAGTTGGTCTGCTTGGTGCGAGGTCAGAAGTTCAAAGTCTCCGGCTGCTCTGTGGAAGACAGAAAGACAGGGCTTTCTACTCCCTAAAGAATTACCGTCTCAGAAACGCACCGGGGCAGTTACACTCTGGCAGAGAGGGTCACGAGGAGTTGTGAAGGACTTGTTGGCAGTGCTTGATTGTTTTTCAGTTTGGTGATCAAAATATATTTCCTATAGCTGAAAACTCCTAGCATACAAATACATTTTCTAAAACAAATATAATTTGTCAAGTACTATTTTTTTTAAATCATTTTATTGGGGGCTTGTAGAAATCTTATCACAATCCATCCATCCATTGTGTCAAGCACATTTGTACATTTGTTGCCCTCATCATTATCAAAACATTGTCAAGGACTATTTTTCATAAGCTTACTTAACTAAGCCTAAGATACAGGCTGTAACTTGATGAAACCTGGGAGAAAACACTTTGGTAAGATAATGTGGATTTCAAAAGACATACTGTCTTTTCCTTGTAAACCCTACCAGGGGCAGTCAGTATGTTTATAGGAGAAAAAACCAGGCATACATTTAAAGTAGAGGAGTTTGCTTCTTATCCTCCTCTCAACTTCACCTTGGCTGACAATCTGTAATCTATTGTGTTCCCTTAGCTAGCATTCATACGTACTTGGTAACTTCATTGGTGTTACCTCATTGAAATAATATCTGACCTAAACCATATAGCAGCAATGGTTATTTAGCCCTGTTTATTTTTGTCAACAAATACCATTTGACTTTGTTTTCCCTCTTCCATTACTAACCCATGTGACTCTACTATATTGCTGCTTGGTGCCCTTGCTGGAGCTCTGACTGACAGCAATCCTATTACAAGAAAAGGAAACACGGCTAGGTCCTATACCATCCTCACAATTGTTATATTTCAGCCACTGTGCCAATCCATCTCATTGAGAGTCGTCCTCTTTTTACATAACCCTCTACTTTACCAATCACGATGTCCTTTTCCAGAGAGCAGTCTCTCCTGGAAAACATGTCCTAAGTATGTAAAACAGTCTCATCATTCTCCTTTCTAAGGAATGCCTTACTCACAGTATCTCTAAGACAAATGTGTTTGTTTTTTTGACAGTTCAGGCTTCTTTCATTCTTCTTTGGCAACACCACAATTCAAATGCATCAATCCTCCTTTGGTCTTTCTTATTCATTGTCCAGCTTTTATATGAGGCCATTGAAAACACAGCATTTGGGTCAGGCACATATTTGTTCTCAATGTAAGATCTTTGCTCTTTAACACTTTAAATATAGCTTAGGCAGTGTATTTGCCCAATGAGAGACATCATTTGATTTCTTGATGGTGACATCCATGAGCATTGCAACTGTGATAAATCATCCCAGTACCCCTGAGAAGGTTCTTATTTTTAATTTGTCCACAAATATTGAAATGGGGGTACTGCGATCTGTGTTTCGTTCTTTCATGCCATCATGGGCAGGAAAAGTGAATGGAGCAATATTTACCCTTTGCTGTGCTGAGCACATACTTAGAGTAGGGGGATGGGTTTGAACAAGGGTCCGTAGGCATGAAACAGTCTGATGCATTTGATGAAGCAGTAATAGTTGTGGTTTGCAGAGGAAGTCAGAGCACCCACCCAGGAGTTATGGGAGAAACCACTAGTGAGGGTAGTGAAGAAGCCAACCTAGGGGATAGGTATGTGGACTTGTAAGCAAGAAGTAAGTCCAGGGTTCCACTGAGACACAGTGATGTTGAATTAGCAGGACTTGGTGATCTTTTGGAAAGAGTGAGAGAAAGGACAACTTGTCAGTGAATGGGAAGAGAGAAGGATAAGTTGGATAAAATAGAGAGAGACAATGAGTGTAGGAGACGGAGTTCATGGTGAGGGTGCATAGTGAAGCTACAGGCACATGCAGGTAGTGATCACAAGAAATTCAAGCATGCCATAACATGTATGTGTAAGGACCGCATGAGAGGATGTAATGAAGAATTGACTTTGAAGAGAACGTATTTTCATTTTTCCTAGAAGTAGTTGCGTTTGCTCTTCTATTTAATAGTTTCATATGGTGTGAACAATGGCACGATATGCCCCTTATTGTTTCGAGCATCTTCTTCAGGAAATACTAAAGCGAGAGCTTCACAGGAAGCCAGCGCAGCTTGAGAACTTGGAACCTCCACCACAATGCTCTGCAGAGGATGATGAAAACCACACTTCGAAGCAGCCGGCCCCACCTGGAGGCCTCCCCTCTGAACCAGGTGGGTCTCTGCAAGTCCAGAACCAGAACTGACGAGTCAGCTGGAAAACAAAGAGCCTTCAAATGAAGAGAGATGATGTAATTCTATGGAATTGGGATATATGTAATGCTATGGAAACAGAAAGATATTTTCACTCCTATTAAGAGCCAGCTCATTTAGTTCAGAAATAAACAAATGCTAAGGAGTGCAACATGTTATGGTGCTTGGGCACAAAATGAAGAAATTATTCTATTAATCTCAAGATGTCTAATCCTATGGAAGGGGAAGGGCTGATAAATCCGAAAGAGCAGAAAGCGCACGTGGCTCAGAAGAGGACCGAGAGTTCCTTGCTTACACACACACACACACACACACACACAATTCCTGTGCAAAATAAGCTCTTCAGTTGATGGAATCTTTCAGGATTTTCCGCAAGATAGTCTTAGTGTCCTTCGCAACTACTTCAAGGAAGTATCTGTGCTTCATCCATCTGATGTAGTTGGTAATAGGAACACCGAAGACTGGTATATAGCTAAAAATAGTAGATAAGTAAGAAGTTGTATTAAAATTCATACAATAAATCAGCCAATCTACATTGCTGAGAGTCTGCAGGTCCTGGGATTTCATGTTTGCTGTGTAATCCAGGACATCAGACTCCATTATCTGTGCCACACGAAGGATAGATTCATCATCCACACCAAAGTGCACTTTGTACACTTTCAGACACGCTTCTGAATTGTCTGGATCTTCAATGCCATGAATGTCCTGGAAAGACAGTGTGTCAACTTTCTTCTGCAGGAAAGTCTGCTTGTCGTTAATGATTGCCTCACAGGTATGGAGCAGATTCTGGAGCGGATCCTGGTACCTGATAAGGAGGAGGTCCTTTTTTAATGTTTGCTTGAGTTCTCGGAAGCCATGCAGGGACAGATCAAAGCTGGAGACCAGGAAGATGGGGGGCTCATTCACCTGCTCCATCCAGAGTGTTTCAAGGATATACTCTCGGATCATCTTCACGGCCTTCTCCTTGCTGAGTACATTTTTGCTCAGGTCCATGTCCAGTTTGTTCCAGACAATGTAGAACTTCTTTCCTAACTTCTGGATGGTTTTGGCAAGCACTGCATGATTCATGCTGAACTGCTCAGACGCCACAATAATGACGAAGTCATACTGGCTGAAATGCATTTCCGCCATGTAGTTCTCCAGGCTCTGGGCAGAAGCACCCATGCCAGGCAGGTCCCACAGCACGACATTCGGAAAACAGGAGGCTGAATAGGAAGCACGTGTGAAGGTGGTTCTCACTACCCCGGTTGGAGCCGAGGTCTCCTCGTCATGCCCAACATTGCGGAGAGCATTGATGAAGGTAGACAGGCCATTGCCGGAGGCCCCTGTCACAGCAATGTTCAATGTGACATTATTGTTCATGTTCTTCCAAGTCTTCTTGGCTTTAGCAATCACATTCGGGAGATTACCATCCATCACGTCCTTCTCAATACTTGTAGCCCCTGTCTCAAATAACCCAGAGGATACAGAGGACAGGTCCTCAGGGGACAGTGGGTATGCTGCCATGTTGCAGAACAGTGGTGTGACCTGCAGAAGGAGGAAGAGCAAGGACATTACGATGCTGGGTGAACAGGCCACTGCAGGATTTAAGGAGCCTCCCAAGCCCAGAGTTTGGATGCATAATCAAGGTGACCAGCAAAGGTGTTTGGAGCATTGGGGACATATATAATGGTGAAATTCATGTTCTGGGGATGGGAAGGGGGGCCTTGAGGAAAGCTCTGCTGCTGAGTTGCCAACAATAATAGCCCAAAGCAGGACTGTGGATACCACAGGGCTTAAGCAGCAGAACTTCAAGTGAGTCATTGAGTTCTGAAGGAGGTAAGGGAACCTCCCTAAGAATTCTTCTGCATGAGACGAACAGCTCCATTCACCATCTATATTCATCCATCTATGTATCTATCTACTTAACACTTTTGTGGACATATAATTCACATCTCATACAATTCAATATTGAACTATTTAAAGAGAGTTGTGAATTCATCATACTAATCAATTTCAGAATATTTTCTTCATTCTTGTAGTCATTATAATTAGCTACCCATCTGCCTCCCCAGTCTCCCTATCATAAGCCTCAGAAACTATTGTCCTAATTGATGTCACCATAGATTTACCTATCCTGCATGTCATAGAAAGAAAATCATTCAAGAAAAAAAAAGAAAGAAAGAAAACTGCAAATTCAACAGAATGAAACCCAAAAGAACCTCTATTGAAATGGCCACACAGAAAACACAATTACAGAATGTTTTCTAAGGAAGTTCAAGATTACAATTCAGCATCAGAAATGCTCAGAATTTGCCAGTCAGGATTGCCTCTTCTTATTCGTGCCCACAGGAATGCTTCTTTCTGGTATTCAACCTCTTAGCTAGACAATATTACAAACCCTTTCTAGTGTTGCTGATAAATGCCCCAAAGGGCATGCCACTCCACCATAAGCCTCGACCTTCCCCAGTTAAGTCCCTGGAAGTACCCACTTGAAAAATAAGCCTCTTTCCCTAACACACTCAGCTTCACTTTCTCCATGGGCCAGGAAGCCCCCTCTTTTAAGCTCTTGGCATCACTGTTGGTGCCGCTGCCTCTGCTGCTGCCACTTTTCTGCCACTTCTCTGATGTCACAGCCCTCTGTCTCCTGGATTGAAGAGGTTCAACCTAGGAAGCTTGAGATCCATCTTCTCTTCCGGATTTTCATTGTTGATAGTAGTGAGACTCCTCCATCCCTCCTTCTGAGATGGCTCATTTGAACCCACTGGCATAACAAAAGCTAGAGTCGTATATATCTTATCGGCATGGTCAATAACCTATTGACCTAGAATAACCATATAAGTCAATCACCGTGACACAGTATGAATTACTATCTCTCCCTCTCTCCACCATTGGCATTCTTCCCTCCTTCCCCATCCATGCAACAGCAGGCAGTCTGATGGGGTGGCTGCTCTAGTGGGAGTTGCCAGCTGTGGGTTGCACTCTCAGACAGGGGAGCCTTCTTTAGCTTGGGAGTGGGTGGGGAAGGCCTTAGTTTTGTTAGTTTACTGTCGGGTCTGTCTGCACACTGAGGGGTACTCTTCTGGAGCCCATGATTAACTGGTGACTTGAAAGAGATTTCCTTGTATTCCAAGGAAGAAACAAGGAGCCGAAGTAGAAAATCCCTGATTGTTGCTCAGGAATTACTGTTAACATAGAACAAAGTTTGCATCAAACTGTTTAAATGCTTTTCCAAGTTTTTTTTTTAAGAGTATTAGTCTGTGTCTTGATATATATCACCAGAGAAAACTCTAGCACCTTCAATTTGCTAACAGTGTCCAACTTGTTGCTGGGAGGACCGCTATGGTTGCTGTGGTCTGTGCCCATCTGTCAGGACAAGGTCAGACCATCCCCCAGCTGTGCCTCCTTGTAACCCAAGATTCCTAAAGGATCCTTTAAGCATATTTTAGAAAAGCAGTCTTTAGAAAATAAACTCAAAGGAAGTAGCTCAACAAACGAAAAATTGCATCTGTCAAAAATTTAGACTAAACTAAATAAAAAGTAATTTCTTGGTGAACGGAAGGAGAAGAATTTTATTTTCAGAGTTGCATCATAATATTCAAATGGCCCGGTATCAAAGAACAAAAAAATCTTATCATTGTGAATAAGGAGGAGTGGGGAATGGGGACCCAAAGCCCATCTCTAAGAAACTGGACACCCCCTTACAGAAGGGTCATGGGGAGGAGACGAGTCAGTCAGGATGCCAGGAATCAAAGATGAAACCTACATCTATCTTCTAGTTCTTAAATACTTCTTCCCTCAACTATCATGATCCCAATTCAGGAAACACAGGGAATCCAGGACAGATGAACCCTTCAGGACCAGTGCTGAGAGTGGCAATACCTGGGGGTAGAGAGAAGGTGGAGTGGAAGGGGGGAACTGATTACAAGGGTCTACATATAACCACCTCCCTGAGGGACAACAGAAAAGTGGGTGAAGGGAGACATCAGACCGTGTAAGATACGACAAAATAACAATTTATAAATTCTCAAG